GAGTCGTAGAGGTGTCGATCCTGTCTTATCCATTAAAATTGGTTCCAAGCTCATCATGAAGACTAATACTACGCGATAATTCATTCTTCATCATAAGAGCTATTCGTCTGGTTTAATATTCCCTTTTATGGGTTCCAGCAGACTAATTTACCAGCATTTTTATACAGAACGATGATGTAGTTTAAATATCACCAACTTGTTGATGAAGATTGATTGTGTGGTAATTTTAAACAACAGTTCTCAGGTCTGCATATAACTAAACTGGGCGTATAAAATTCTCCAAAAATATGATTTTAGGTATCCTTCGAAGTTACACTTCACATCAAGTTGATAGGCAATAAATGAATAAATAGTTTATTTTATTGAAATCATGAACCGATCAATGTTAGACCGCCATTGAAAACCTGGAAGCATTGGATGGCCGTTTCGTCCTAGTATGGGACTCCTTAGCAGTGCCGGTTCAGTGGTTTGGAAGTTAAGCGTTTTCACGCGAGACCGATAGTCTTGGGTTCAAATCTGGCGTATGGTATTGTAGATGCGTACTACAGGGGAGTCTCTTATCCTAGGGCGAAACGGCCGCCCAGTGCTTCTAGGTTTTTACTGGTTGTCTTACATTGATTGGTTCGTAATTTCAGTGAACTTCAACAATCTCTCTAACCCCAAACTGAAAGTTATTTTGTCTCAATAAATAGTATGCACTTGTGTGGATGTAAGTTATTGGTTTTAATTTACTAAACTGATATTCGTCTTATTCCATGAAACATCTTACTCAATACCATTACAAAACGACTGTGATAAAATTTTCTAGCTGAGCTAAACCGTTAAAATCTAACATAATATTGCTGGTAATATTAGTTTCTCGTTTCATCTTTAGGCTCATACATAGACCCTAAACGAGAATCGCTTTTGTGTAGATCTACATTTCGCTCATCTTAATATGACTCGTTTATGGGATTTCAGAACTTTCACTTACTGTAATGTTTTAAAAATGGACTTTAAAAATACTACTGCACGTTTACGAACACAGATCCTTTTCATAATAAAATCATTATAAAATTATGGCTTAAATCATAAGTTACAGTAACAATGCGAGTTAATTTATTTGGTCGCACTAGTAGATCCATTAATTCCAATTCCAAATGAAGTATTTATACCTTTACAGAAGGCTTCTGGATTTTAAAATTACCAGGATAATAAAAAAAGTAACTGGATCTATAAAATGTATTTAGTAATTACTCACTATTTGTTTGTTTATGGTAATGATAACTTCTAGTCTCTTTCTGAGTGTATTTCCGTCTGAATAGTTTGTCATGTTGACTAACCTTTATACATTCAGTGTTGCTCAAAGTCAAACACCATTTTTGTTTGCACTTAGTTGCTTTAGATGCTTTAATTTATGTATTATATATATTTTTTTTCTCAGAGCGATTCTGTGGATAATCTTTCCGAGGAAGATACGCAATCCGACCAAGTGTATTTGACAAATGATGAATTTACAAATTGTCATTTGTGGGAAACGGCCTGGGACAGAATTAAAAATGCAGCTAAAACACGTCGGCAGAGAATGAATCAAAAGTCTAGTCATAGCCGAACTAGTGATATTCGTTGTAGCAAATCCAGCAAGCCTCGCCGTATGGTAAGTGAGATAGATGACAGTGATGGAGATTTGGAACATCAATTAAAAGATACATCGAAAACTGAAAGTGATGGCGATGATGAGCAGTCAGAAAGCTTCATAGTTACTGAATTGAAACGAACTTTGGAACGAGGTGAACGACATAAGTATCCAGCTGAAACACTTATACTTGAAGTTAATTCTTTAAAACATGCTTATAATGTACCTATTGAAGATTTTGGATTCTTATTGACAAAAGCCTTACTGGAGCTAACTCGTGATCATTTATCTTCGAAATCACAAAATGAATGCAGTAAAGCTGATATAACAGAATTCATCATTAATCTTCGTAAACTCCTATTAAGCTTTAATACTGTTCTGTCATCATGTATGTCAGGATTTCAAAATACTGGCCGAGTTTATCTTCAAGCCGTTGAAGATGCAGCATGCTATGATTCATTGATATTTGCTTCTTCTATGTCTATTATTCACACTATGTATGACAATGATTTAGTTTTAGAAGATGATATATGGTGGTGGAAAGATAATTCCCCACTTTTACTTGATGATGATATTTCTGAGAAAACTCGATCATTAAGAGAAAAAGTCAAACCTTTCTTTGATTGGCTTGAACAGGCGGAAGAAGAAGATGACGATGATAAGCAATGACATGTTTATAACTTTGTACAATACTTTTTCTTTACTTTATGTGTTATTTGCGGTGTACGTATGATAAAAACAAGTGTTAAAAAATGTTTAATCTGTTGCCATTCCATGTACATATCATCCTTTTTATTGACTTTAATTTCAATATCACCTAGCGAAACATCTGCTATGACAGGAGTTTGCTTTATAAATATTTTCTTTGGTAGGTGGGATGGATGAATTTTCCAGTATTCAGTAGGTTGGTAATTAATAACTTGGAAAAGTTTTGCAAATGGTGTTACTCACAAATTCATTTCCATTCAGAATAATGATTAGTGTTATTACAGAGCTTAGAGTATTGGTAGTTTCTAACAGTGTTGTATTTACGAGTTTCAAGTTTTCTGTGTTGGTGTTTAATACGAGTAATAGTGATTTTGTTATTGTCACACTATATTAACGACTAGTGAGTGACTAACAACACAATTATATCAGTTATTTGATATATATATATATATATATATATATATATATATATATCCTGATAAAATTCGTGATATTTGGTTTGTTTAGGTTAATCGATAATTTTGAACGAGTTCGAATTGTTTTGAATGTATTTTTAATTAGTTATAGACCAGCACAAATACATATGCGCCACACAAATCTCATTTGATTTGTGTGAGGGCTGTGATACTGCTCGGATGCCCAAACCGATGCAGGTGGTTTTCTCAGAGGGTCACGTCCGGAGCCTTCGACCTAAAGGTCTGATCCACAAAACAGTGGAGCATCGTGAGGAGATGCAGTTCCATGGTAGCCAGTGACCAACGATTGGTTCATACGCCATTTGTTCTCTCAGGATGCTGGAACCCGTGTGCACCATTGGTTTGGAATCAGGGTTTTCCAACTCCCCTAGGTTGACTCTCCGTGTCCACCAACCCGGTTAAAGCGTCCGACATTCGCTTTTCGTCCTCTCAATTTCGTAAACAACACCCGCGGTACGAGAAGGCAGTGAGTAGGCCTTTCCTGGTAGAGGCTATATACGTGTGGCCATGTGAGAGCATTTCGAGAGGGAGAGCGGACTCTCCCCATTCTCTGCCGTACCAGGGCATTCGGGGTCTATAGACCAGTAGATACTAGAATCTTTCCTGTGTATCATTTTGGGATCAGAACTATTTTCGAATATATTGAACTCATTTTCTAACTTCCATCATATTTGTAGTGATTTTAGCGTGATATAATGTATAGGAAATTAGCTTTAATAAACCGTATATAGAATTTGTCATCATAAAACGAGATGGTTTACACGAACTATTCCAACGGTTCAACAGCTTAGATGACAAAATCAAGTTTACTAAAGAGTTGGAATCGCCTGAACGCAGATTACCTTTTCTAGACTGCCTGGTTGAAAGGAAGGATAATGATTGTTTAAAAATTAATATATTCCGAAAGCCTACATATTCAGGGAAATTTTTAGATTTTAAGTCTGCGCATCCACACTCGACCAAAGTGACAGTGGCCAAAAATTTGATCACCAGAGTCAAAAAACTTGTCACTGAACGAAATGATATAAAAACGGAAATGAATTTAGTTGTATTCACTCTACTAATGAATAATTATCCGAAAGGTTTTATTAAAAGAATAATTAAGAATGAAGAACGGAATGATATTTTTAAAAAAAGAGTTAAGCAAGATTGGATGAACACAGTAGTGATCCCATTTCGTAAAGGTATCTCAGAAGATATCAGAAGGATTTTAACTCGTCAAAATATAAGAGTATTCTTTCGAACAAACAATACTCTAAGATCAAAACTAGTAAGAATCAAAGATCCAATACACAAGGATGATCAACAGAATTGTGTTTATGAAATCAAATGTAATGACTGTAATGCAACGTATATAGGTGAAACATCAAAACAACTGAATGTGTGGGTGAAGGAACACAAACTGGAAACTCAAGTATATAGGAAACCGACCCATACAGATCAAATCCTCAATTACAACAGCAACAACCCAAGAGCTCACAAAATCAACTGCGTACACACATTGTTCAAGAGGGCGAGGACACACTGCAACACACTGGCAGCACGAAAAAATGAAGAGAAATACCTGAGGGACATATTTCAGAAGAACGGCTACCCAATCAACTTCATCAAAAAGCACCAACGGCACACAGCATCAGAACCAAAATCAAGCACAAAAATCAACAAAAGGATCACCCTACCGTACATACAAGGAATATCAGAAACCACAACGAGACTGCTGAAAACCTTCGGAATAGGTGTGGCACACAAACCAACAAAATCATTACAATCAATCCTATGCAAACCAAAAGATGAAATAACAAAGGAAAACAAATCAAACATCATCTACAAAATAAATTGTACCAACTGCGACAAACACTACATCGGACAAAGCGGACGCCCCCTCCACCTACGCCTACATGAACATCAATTAGCAGTCAAACGCCATGATATCTCTTCACTTATATCAATACACGTGGATAACTACGGACATTCATTCGATTGGGAAAATGTAGAAATCTTAGACAGAGGAAACTCCAAAAACACCAGAGAATTTTTAGAAGCTTGGCACTCAGGTCAATCAGCAATCAACAAACATATTGAAATCAATCCAATTTATCAACCAATCAGGAAAATCATGCATAAATATAGGAACAAAAATCAAACCAATGGGAGACACAACCAAAACAAAGAAGTAAACAATGATAAATTTAAGGTCAACAAGAACCAATCAACATCGAGGTGCACAGAACAAGCTGTGAAACACATATGGAGAAATTCGAACACTTCACTTCTATCTGAAGTTTGTGCTGATGATGTCGTTCAGAAGAACGATGAAAGCTCCACGACCAAACCATCCAGCTCAGAGAACAAAACACCACCAAAAACACAACCTGTGCTTAAAGCACATTCCTAAATCCTCAATTGATGTAAAAAAGCTTGAGAACAGATCAGCGATAGCATTACACTCGATTGAATCGGGTCATATAGTTGATTTCAATGGCACGAGAATCATCCAAAAAGGATTTAATTCTTACAAAGAACGACTAACAGCCGAAGCCCTACATATATGGGCTGATTCAAACAATATTAATAGGAGAGATGGAATACAACTAGCTGTCCCACGGCAACTAATAATTAATAAGTAAACCTGATCTTTTTGCAATTTGATATATCTATGCCATAGTAACTAACTGATAGATAATACGTTCAATGATTCAGATCCGTTATCTTATCTGAATACGCTAAACAATTGACTGGAACATTAAAAATAACACGCTTTCAATTACATATACATTCCTCTTTTATTTTGTTTACGTATTTTATCTTCATTTAATGCAGGCTGTGGCATTTTTGATTCATTTCATATATAAAAATGATCTGTTTTCTTAATATACACAGACCGAAGTCAATATTTAGTTGAATGAAATTTCTCACAGCACTTGCGTATAAACACATTCTGTTGTCTTAACACGTTTTGGTTCCATAACACATACCTTGTCCTTACGTGTGCAAAAACAATTTGTCATAACCTTGAATTTACCTTGTAATCCTCAAGTCATTCTATGGCCTAGGATAACACGATAATTTCTTATTCTTTCTCTCTTCTTGGTTATTTTCAAATGAACTTTTAATTGTTTGACCTTTATTATTTTCATATAAACAGGTATCTTACACATTAATACAAATACCTATTTATAAAAAATCCTTCACGTTGATTGGATGACTTATTCAGTATACAGTAAACCGAAGAACCTTGTACCTATTTATATTCGATAATTTTGTTGTTTGATTATATTTTCCTTGAAAAAGCTTGGACCAGATTGCCAGGCGAAACGGTGGATTTACTTAAAATTCATTCGCTGAGATTTTACAAATATATTCTTCTTTTTAACGTATACAGAATTGCCTGTAGGAAGTCAACCATTTTAACAAACAACAGTAGCAGCCTTCACCACTTTTCTAATAGCCTACTTTGACCTAGATACTTGTGAGTTCTGTTACAGGCTTTTTTAATGTGACATCTACTATACCAATTTCACTAGTGGGGACCAAAGTATTATCGATTACTTATAAGGTTTCACTGAAGACTTCTGATCATGTCGAAGGATTCGTCTGAATTCCTGTTTTTCTGAAGCCCTATATATATGTAGCTACTTGTGCATACTTTAATCTGGGCCTGTTTTTATCAAGAAAGGATTTCCCAAGACCGAGTTGGATACAGAATGCTGGTGTGTCATTAATTTAACAGTGTCAATGATTTCTATTAATAAAAATAATATATTTGTAATATCCCAATAAGTAGAAAAATTAGATTTCCTGGCGTTTCGTGACTCGGTGTGAGCTGCTTCTTCAGAGAATAAATAGTCAAACTAAATTAACCTAATCTTAAGTAGTAGACAGAAACAAACAAAAATATTTAAAGTGACCAGTCAAATACAGGTCTGACTAATTCAATGTTGTGTCATTCCGGTCAAGGTTATTTATGTGAGGCATGTTTGTATATTTGCGCGTCTGTGTGTATGTTAAGGGATGAAGAAATATGATATTTGTGGTGCGAAAGGATTGAGTTGAATTTGTACGTCTGATAATGATGTGAGATGTGAATAGAATCAGACATGTTAGCTCGGATAAACAGTCCAAGTCAGGTGGGTAGTGATGTCTTCTTTTCTATTGATGGCGGTAGGATTAAGCAAATATGGAAAGCTTCACCTACTCGTCTTTGTATATATTTTATAGTTTTTAAGATCAACTTGATGGTTATTGAAAATGGTGTAGACTGCTATTGTAGATTTAATTTGGAGTCTTTCCAGTTTTTTGTGTAGCTGTGACATTCTCTGGTTGGAGTCGGGATTTCACGTGACCCTCCAATAAAGAAGGCATCACAATCGACACAACCTAATATGTAGACATAATCCTGTGTTAATATAAAGTGGATTTTTTCTTTTATGCTAACTAAAGCATTTAGAAGGGTGTTCATTGTTTTTTAGTATACTTTAATTATGTGTTCTTTGGTCATTGAGATTGTGGCTGCAATTCTGCAAACCACAGTTAAAATATAAATGAACTTAACCACCTGAAATCTCTTACATATCGGGTGTGACAATCATATCAATACTGTGGGTTAGTTTTTAAATTTTGCTTGACTTTGAGGTCTATTGAAACAACCAAGCTTGATGCACCAATTAGGCAAATTAACCAAATCTAATATCGAATATAAATGGATTTCTGTAATCATCCATGTTATCGTCTTAGTAGGCCTATTAGCGGGATTTTTAAAAGCGAAATGAAAGTGGGCCATACTGATTCGGCGATTACAGTCTTGATATAATCTCCGAATTCCTAAGCTTGGGGATTCATAAGGACAATTGCTTTCATGTTCAACATTTTTACACAAACCATGTAAATAGGGTCTCGAAATGCTGATTTTTACTATTAAGTAAATTTATCTTGTGTGAACTCATAAAGCTCATTAAAAAACGGTAGATATTAATTTTAGCTAGATAAACATATCTAGAGTCGAACAAAGTTAAATGACTTACGGTTTCTTGAGAAACACTCAGTGATTTGTGGTCCCATACTAGGACAAAACACATCTGTACTTTTAGGTTTCAAATCATGATCTACCTGAAAAATTTGCTATTCGTGTTAATTGTTTCATAAAAGTACTTTACAGCTTTTACAAATGAAACAGTCGAGAAGAAAAATGTGTTTACTGAAATTTTTGTTTTCTTTCTACATATGCCTCAGGTTATGTTATAAAATTGGGGGGAATGATTTTAAACCTAGAAATTAAAATACAATCATTCACGTCCTTTAAGGTAAGTGGTTACTTTGAACTATGAACTAAAATCTTATGATACTTTGTAGAACACCCAGCCATCAAGAGATTTAAAATAACTTCTGTTAAGACAGCATTATTCTATTCAAAGGAAGTGGTGGCAACAATCAGCACAACAAAATCAGTTGGGATGCTCATACTACTTAATTAAACCAAGTAGAATAAAGCGCATGAAAAAATCTATTTAAATGACTTAGTCGGTCGTATGTGCAGTTGTCTTAAAACAAGCGGGTAGTAACCAAATGACTACAGTCACTTTTGAGATGTGATTTTATGTAGTCAGAAAATATTCAGTCACAAATCAAAATAATTTTCGGAATGGCGATCGTTAACATTTCTCAATAGTCAATATTTAGTCCTAACTTGGGTTATTTTTATTATTATTTTAACACATAGATATTGGTACAAGGAGGCACCAAATACATATGCGCCACAAAAATCTCATTCGATATGTGTGAGGGCTGTGATACTGCTCGGGTGCCCGAACCGAAGCAGATGGTTTTCTTAGGGGGCCACTCCCCGAGCCTTCGACCTAAAGGTCTGATCCACAAAACAGTGGAGCATCGTGAGGAGATGCAGTTCCATGGTAGCCAGTGACCAACGATTGGTTCATACGCCATTTGTTCTCTCAGGATGCTGGAACCCGTGTGCACCATTGGTTTGGAATCAGGGTTTTCCAACTCCCCTAGGTTGACTCCATGTCCACCAACCCGGTTAAAGCGCCGGACGTTCGCTTTTCGTCCTCTCGATTTCGCAAACAACACCCGCGGTACGAGAAGGCAGTGAGTAGGCCTTCCCTGGTAGAGGCTATATACGTGTGGCCATGTGAGAGCATTTCGAGAGGGAGAGCGGACTCTGAGGACTTTCTGTGTATTTGAACGTTCTTTCATCTATGCATTGGTCGTAAAAATTACTTTATGCAGTTTGTAAATGATTTTAAAATAAGAACTACCAAGTCATTGTTTCAATAAAGTCGACAGCCCAATTTGTTTACAACAGTTTCAGTGAGATAGTATTTATAAATTGTGCTAATTCTATGTGTTTTAGTAACTGCTCATACTGTATCATCCTATTGCAGCATTGACTTTTTTCTACTGATGTCATATATATCACAAAGTTTTAGCCTTAATGACAGTGATTTCCACATCATTAAGTCGTTTTATTTCGAAATTTTGTGCTTAATTATTCCTCATTCAAGCGTTATTTCAACAGATGATAATCAAATTTTATTCATTTAATCTATTTTTAAGGTTGGTTCATTAAGCCAAATGAGGAGTCGTTTGCTATCTACTTTGCGAAATGTATCCACAATTTATGATGTTGGCTGCGGTTACATTTAATCAGATACTCATTGCTAGGATATTTATGTGTTGACAAATGGCTTCTTTCAAAATATTCAACAGTGTAAACACAAACGGCTGGATTATGATCTTTTTTTCTAGGAATAAATGGGTACAGTATATGGATATCCTTTATGTCAATGTAGTTACAAATAAAACATATATTATATCCAAGAGATTCTTTTTGTCATTAGTTAAAATGCTTGTATTATAACTAGGTGTGTGAATCATGAAAATTCATTAATTTTTTGTGCAAGTAAAATACTACTATGGACAATGGACATATAAGAGTAAGCGTGTGAAATATGTGGATATCAACGATAATAAATATAGCTAAAATTACTCATAATCTTTGAATATTTTTTCTAATGAGGATGAAACTAAGTTATCTTATAAAGTGATATTACACTTTACTTTATGACAATCCAATGCTAATTCTCTTGTAGTGAACGAGAAAACTAGTGGGGACAACCAAATGCATTGGAATACAACATTACAGAATGTCTTGGTAAAATCTGAGACTCATGCAGTAAATACTTCATTTGCAAAACGTCAATCACTTGTCTCAAACTTGATTGTTTCTTCGCTTCCACACCAGTCACTCTCTATTCTCGTTCACTTCTTTGTCGCCAGGTATTTCTCTATCGATTGGTGGTGTATACTACTTCTATCTGTTGAGATCAGTAGCTCATATCACGCTCTCATTATATCAATGAATTTATTTAAAGCAGCAAAGCAGAACTAAAATTAATTCTAGAATTTGATGAATTTCGAAATCAACTTTTTAATCATATTAATTTGTTCAGTTTAATCACGGTGATTCAAGAACTGAGAAACAGATGGGCAAAATACTTTGAGGAACTGTTGAATAGACCAGCTCAATTGAATTCACTGGACATCGAAGCAGCACACAGAGATCTTCTTATAGATGTCAGTCCATCAAAGACCGAAGAAATCAAGATGTCCATCGGATAAATCAAGAGTGGGAAAGCAGCAGGACCTGAAAATATACCAGCTAAAACACTGAAGTTAGGTATTAAAGAAACTACAAACATGCTTCACATTCTATTCAAGAAAATTTAGGATGGGGGGAAAAGTGCCGATGGACACCCCATCACGATATCAAAGGAAGGAGACCTGAGAGAATGCGAGAACTACAGAGGCATCACACTACTATCAGTATCAGGAAAAGTTTTCAACAGAGTGTTGCTGCATCGGATGAAAGACGCAGTAGACGCCCAACTTCGGGATCAACAGGCTGAATTCAGTAAGGATTGATCGTCCACGGACCGAATTGCGACACTACTGATCATCGTCGAACAATCAGTTGAGTCGAACTAGTCACTATACATCAACTTCATTGACTATGAGGCGTTTTATAATGCGGACAGGAGAACATTATGGAGTTCCTGGGAAGATTGTCAATATTATCCGGAACCCATACGACGGACTACAGTGCAAAGTCGTGCATGGAGGACAGCTGACAGTTGCATTCCAAGTATGAACCGGGGTCACAAGGGTGTCTAATCTCTCCCTTCCTCTTCCTTCTGATGGTTGACTAGATTATGAAGACTTCAACAGATATGAAAAGGATGAATTACATTTGGAAAGGATTGCCCAGGACAGGGTGCGATGGAGAGTACTGGTGGGCGACCTATGCTACTCCACAAAGAGTAACAGCCGTAAGTAAATAATAAAATTCATGAAACATACACTAACTTTCGTTTCAAATTATGAAACGTGATATGGTACTAAAACTATATATATGGACAAAAATGTTTTACAGTGTAATTCGCACTGTATGTTTCAACTTCAGTGTTTGTTACTCAACAGTTATGCACAAGTCAATAAACATTTAAAGTAAAATTTGTTGTTTTATTTTATAAACAGTAAAATATTTGTATATCAAGACTAACTAAAAATTTATGGTTAAGTTGGATAGCGGTTAGTAAATATACCAACAGAGACTGTCCAGTTGCAGTCTATAACAACAATTATATGAAAATGCAGACTTTCAGAAGTAAAATTCATACCTGTCTCACTAGCTAATGGCAGTTTCGGTTCAGTAGCTCAGTGGACGAGCCATAGGCTTTGTAATCGAGTTACTAGGTTTGGATCCCACTGTTAATATCCATGCAGGGATGAATGTGCATCCAGCAAGTGAGTTTCACCAAGGATGAAACATTTTTTCTAGATTCCACTGTTAACAACTATTCAGTGCTAGTAAATTATCTGTTTTTTAAAAAGGATTTAAAGGCAAAAAATTACGAAACTTTGTACCACTAAATTTAAAAAGTACTGATAAACTCACTTTCGAATTGGTTCAAGGATCAAGGCTGCTTCCCACAATCAAGTAATAAGGCTATTTAAAGGTGACTATAGTAGGATTATATATATCAGGCTTCGTAGTTAAGTTTCATTGAAAGCCAAACGAAATTTTATTGAATCTCTGCTCACACACATATCGTATAGAAATTATAAACCTGAGAAAGCTGTAATAAAGTCTTCATAACTTTCACTTACGGTTACAAACTCTGAAGTCACTATAGACAATATCTGTTTTACATTCAATATATTAATTTGATTACGTCTAGTATGATGTCCGAGGTTCATTTACATATTTTTGAAGAGAAACTTATCTGAAACTGTGCCATGAGTTAAGTATTGTATTTTGCTGCATAAAATAGCGATACGGATAAACACGATTGCAACAATCAACTGTGGGAAAGAACAAACCAGATTCCAGCGGAGGAAGAAATTAGGAAGAAGCGCTGGAAATGGATAGGACACACATTGAGGAAAGCACCCAACTGCGTCACAAGATAAGCCCTCACATGGAATCCTCAAGGCCGATGGAGGAGAAGAGGAAGACCAAAGAACACATTACGCCGGGAAATGGAGATAGACATGAGAAAAATGAACAAGAATTGGATGGAATTAGAAAAGAAGGCCCAGGACAGAGTGGGTTGGGGAATGCTGGTCGGCGGCCTATGCTTCATTAGGAGTAACAGGCGCAAGTATGTAAGCAAGTAATATCCCTCTAAACAGTTGTTTGAGTTACTGAACAGTGTTTTTTCATATCTAGGTGAATATTTTCACTCAGTCACCTAAAGTTAATTTAATTTGAACATCAAGGCATTTTTGGTAACGAACAAACATCAGTTAGATAATAAAAAACGGGGAAACATTGTTTAAATCTTTGAGACCACATCTATGCACGTAGACAACTTTATACGGGATCAAACTCAGAACCTAAATGTTTCCAAATGAATACAATACCTTCAAATCACGAAATTGACGGGTCACGTTTCCAACCTCAGTAATCTTATGATATAATGTTACGATTATTGATAGTCATCACTAAAAATTCTTACATTTCTAATACAATCAATGTTCACCGATCACTGCTTCTAACTAGAACCTTGAGAGTTCTCATGAAATCTTGTGTTCAATCCTCGTCAAATTTCTATGATTCTTAAACTGATTTCACCCCTTAATAATAGCTAGTGTTAATTTGACTGACAAAAATAACATGTAGAAGGTGATTATTCTACGTATAATTATCAAAATTAGAAATTAATTTTATCCATGTAAAGGTTGGGGCTTATAAAGTATAAACAAAAGTAAATATTATCTTAACTTTCTCATCTTCACAATTATGATATTTCGAACTGACTTGATTAATTTTATTCAACAGGATTCATTTAACTTCATAGATACATATCTCGTCTCTGTTTAGTCTGGATCTGTCAAAATCATGTTTATGTACTTGAAAATTCCTAGATTTAAGTATTACACAGAAAAAATATAAGTTGCTCATTTAAATTCATTTTAAATATGCTTCCTTTTAAAAACAGTCCAATATTTTTATATCGATAAATGGATAACATAACGAGATGATAAATACAAATAACATGTATATGTAAAAATCATATTATCAGATTACTTTTCGATAATAATAATAATATTCTACTACTGACTAATAACCCTACTACTAATCTGCCGATTTGCTCACATTTCTAATTTACACAAATTTGATCTAATCTCAAGGGTGTGTCCAACTGAAATAAATAAGAAAAAAATTATTAGGAAATTAATGATCTACTATTTTCTTTCATCCAATGAATGAAAATAATGTTTGGTATCTGCTTCAATCAAGGTTTATATAAATACCTTGTCAACTGGTTAATGTTTTGATCTTTAAAATAATAATTTTGATCTGTTTCTATTATTATTTAAAATGTCTTGTTTTCGATCAGAAGAATCTAGAGAACAACAACGAATAAGTCGAGAAATTGAACGTCAGTTACATAAAGATAAGAATACAGGGAGAAAAGAAGTGAAATTATTATTACTTGGTAAGTTTTTATTATGAAATAAGGAGTCCTTGTTAATAATTACACCACTTACTAGTGAAGAAACCTAGATGAAGTTAATTATTTGAATTGTAATATTATATGTACGAATTTTTTTGAATTAAGGATTCAGTAGATAAACATTACTTTAAATATAAGTTAAAGAGATCTCTGACTATTCATTGTTTACTTACTGACTTATGGCTGTTATCCCTCATGGAGCATAGGCTGGCAACCATGATTCTCTAACCAACTTTGTCTTGTACTGTCTTATTCAGTTATTCCCAAGTGCTATTCTTTTTTTGATGTCTGCTTCCGATTTCTGGAGCAATTTTTTCGCTGGCATTCCTCCTTTCCATTTGCCCTCAAGATTTCAAACTAGGGCTTGCTTTGTGATACAGTTTGATAGCTTCCGTAGTTTGAATTTTCCACCTCCATCTTCTTTCCTAATTTTATCCTTGGCTACAAGCTGACTGGCTCTCTTCCAAAGTATGTTTTTGCTAATAATGCCTGGCCAACGGATCTGGAGCATCCTGCGTAGATAACTGCTTATAGATATCTGTACCGCCTTAACGATGGTTGTAGTGACTCTCCAAGTCTCAGTTTTTTCGTGTTCCAGATGTTGTTCAATTTTTGGACTGCTACCCTTGTTTTGGTATTTCAAGCCTGTAAATCTGCACCAGATCCCCCTTGATTATCAATGATACTATCCAGGCATGTTCAAGTTTCCACCTTTTCCAGAGCTTCTCTTTCAGGTGTGCTTTGGTTGGCACTCTCAGTGTTATATTTTAGGATCGTGTTTTCTCCCCTTGTGAATACTGAGACCTACTTCTGGAGAGACTGCTGCTTCATTGGCTTTCTTCGCGTGCAATTTTTGCTATGTATGGAATAGAGGAGCTAGTTTGCGTCCAAAGTCTAAATCGTTCAGCTATATCGAAGTTGTTAACTAGTTTTTTACATTAAATTATCTAAAAAATCAATCATTAACAGAATACATGTAAGAGAACTATTATTAAAGTCGAAAATAAAGTTAATTGATGATTAAATCATAGATTAGCTCATCATCAATTACATTTTTGTCTGTTCTTTTTTAAGCATTCAGATAATTTTGTAGTGTCCATTAAAACTCAAGGAATAAATTTGAAATAACATGGTAATAAATAACCATCGAACACAGTAACATAAATTTGTATTTTCATACAAAATTTTGACACATTTTTTAATGATCAGTAATAATTTGGTAGTAAAATTATCATGAAATATTGAGGTTATTTGCATGGAAATATTGGAAGATTCTGCTTTATTTAATTTGAATAGATCCGTACCTTTTAAGTAGTCATAGTAAATACCGACACCTGTTAAGTAATACTAACAATTATCTATCTGAAATTAGCGAGGTTTATTAGTTAAGTTACACGCCGTAGATGTACTATATCCAAAGATCTTGACTAGACAAGCTATGAGGGAAATTTTAATAAAACAAAATAAACAGTTAGAAATCCATTATAATTACTGCTTAAAATACTGATTTGAATTGTGAATGCGTAAAAAAACAATTTTCTCTTTTCATTTTTTTTCTCAGGGACAGGAGAATCCGGTAAAAGTACTTTTGTAAAACAAATGCGAATTATACATGGAGCTGGCTATACAGACATGGAAAAATATGCTTTTAAAACTTTAGTATATCAGAATATCTTTCTAGCCATGCAAACAATGTGTGATGCACTGTGTGCACTTTCAATAGAATTAGAATATCCTGTAAATCAAGTAAGTTAAAAATCAAAATTTTGAAATAAGTTATTTATGAATGTCATAGTTTGTTTTTTGCATAAAATCATCAATCCTAATAGTTTGAAAATATTTTAAGGTAATATTTACCAGGAATATTAACAATATTATTTATCATAATAATATAGTCTATCCACTCTGCTACAAAATATTTTTACTAGTGCCCCCAAATGCCGTGGTATGGCAGAGAGTGGGGAGAGTCCACTCTCCCTCTCGAAATGCTCTCACATGGTCACACGTATATAGCATCTGCCAGCGAAGTCCTACTCACTGCCTTCTCGTACCGCGGGTGTTGTTTGCGAAATCGAGAGGACGAAAAGCGAACGTCCGGCGCTTTAACCGGGTTGGTGGACATGGAGTCAACCTAGGGGAGTTGGAAAACCCTGATTCCAAACCAATGGTGCACACAGGCTCCAGCATCCTGAGGGAACAAATGGCGTATAAACCAATCGTTGGTCACTGGCTACCATGGAACTGCATCTCCTCACGATGCTCCACTGTTTTGTGGATCAGACCTTTAGGTCGAAGGCTCCGGATGTAACCCTCTGAGAAAACCACCTGCATCGGTTTGGGAATCCGAGCAGTATCACAGCCCTCACACATATCGAATGTGATTTGTGTGGCGCATATGTATTTGGTGCCCCCTTGTACCAATATCAATGTGTTCACATAAATAAATAATAAATAAAGTATCATTTAATGTTTAAATGAATCAGAAAAAAAGTAAATTCAATAAATGTTTCAGAGACTAATAATAACAAGTTATCAAGAAGATCGTTTTATTTTTAGTTCGTTCGATTTGCATAATGTTCAAAAGTAAACAAGAAGTTTTGGTGAGACTATAATTTATGAACGAACAAATCACGTGTAAGATAACGGTACTCGGATTTTGGCGCTAAATTCACGCATCCATTTGGATAAATAGAGTTTTGCCATGATAGATGATGTCAGTTCATGATGAAAACCCGAAATCTAATTTTTAAGCTTAATTATCAACTGTAAAATATAATTCTAATTCCTCACACAGGTCCATAGCCCTCATTTATTCCTGGTTGTTAAGTGGACACTCTCAAGGTCAGTCTAGTATCGCTCAAAGGTCGTCCATAAATTTTAGTTTCACCAAAGTTTTTGATGGACTTTTTTCTCTGAGTTGAACTCCATTAAAATCATCCACCTAAGCTACAAATCTTCTCTGCTATCTTAAACAAAATGTTTTCATTAGAATCATATAAAGTAATGAACATATATTTTGTACGTTTAATTAGCATATTAATCATGATATCTGGTAAATACCTTGAAATTATTTCTAAGTTTTTACAAATTTTTAAATAATTAATTAATGTTTTCTGTGCAAATAGACTATTAGAAGGAGTTAATTATTTTCTGGGAATTATTCAATATCTAACATTACTGGTACCATTTTTATTTGCGTGTCATATTTATAGTTGATGCAATAGTCTTAATTCATTGTATATTGATTAAATAAATAATGAAATGACTAGTTAAATCTGAATTTATAAATACAAAACGATTTGGTTATAAACTTGGTGAATGAAAATTTACTTATGATTTATCCTATAAATAATAGAAAAACGTAGTTTTGATAATGTTTATTACTGAATGAATCAACTATGTTGTGAATGTATTTCGTTTGAAAGATGAAATTTAAATTTAATTTTTTCTCAAAGAGGTAAATGTTTTGAAATGTTATCAATGACTTTTAACAAACTATATGGCAGATACACAGCAGTTATATAATAGGGATGGTTGGAGTATATTGCGAATTGGCTGCAATCGAAAATATGAATCACTAAACTTTGACAAGTAATCTAAAAGTATGGTGCTCTACGCCAGATCTGAATGTCATTAGTTTAATCTCGTGTAAAGTTGTGCATGTGTTTTGTTGTGAATATGAACCACTTACCAAACACTTTAATAGGTAAACTCAGTAATTTGTCAACAATTAATCAGTCACTCATTTTGAGTACAACTATTAAGAGGTTTCGCTAACTAATATATACTCTAGTTCATATATATATTTTATAAAATTCTAATAAGAACGATAATGCTAATGGGAGTGGTTGAAAATCTTTAGAGATTTTTCTTAGAAATTCATGTTACATTAATGGAAATCATATGTACAAGTTGAATGTAAACCGATTTCAACATAAGAATTTCATACTTAGATATGATGATGGCATGTGGAATTGTATTAACTTCTCAAATCTTATATATACAACTCAAAAATTCATTTGTTTTCACTTGAAATGGGACTAGGAAAATATGGAACTTATCATAAAAGTTGATCTTGAAGATTCTGTTGAACTGACACCTGAACGTATCAATGCTATACGTCAGTTATGGGCTGACCAAGGAATGAAAGAGTGCTATGAACGTAGAAGAGAATTTCAATTGTCCGACTCATCGAAATAGTAAGTTATAGAGATTATGGCAAATGAAACTTGTATAATATTTTTTGCAATGATTATTTAAATTTTTCGCTGAAGATTATCAACCAAAAAATGTCTAAATCCCTTAATATGATCATTACTTTCTCATTAATAAGCAATGGATGTTTATTCATGCAACTATTCGAACACAATCAAACAACAAATTAGGTTGAAGTCATTACAATGTGCATTACAATCCTTATACTTGAACAAATCAGTCATCATTTCTACGTTACTCAAATTAAACTATTTATTTAAGAAAAAAGCTTTTACTTCTCATTCAGATGTAAATTTCTTTTTATAGATTTGAAATAATAACCACGTATCCTAATTACATCATATTTATATGTTATTAACCCACATGGAGTAGCATATAGTTCAACTTCCTGAATATTTAATTTTGCCTAAATTTATCTAGCATTGCTGATTATTTAGACTGATCTTTCATTTAACTACTGAGGAAGTATTTTATTATATTTACCAATCACGTGGTGATAATTAATTTCCGGTTGTCTGATCCCTATTGCTCATTGAATGTCATCGATAATGTTGACAATCTAGCCACTGGGTTGTGTTGATTGACAGATTGATACGCCTTATTTAAAGTAAGTCATTTGGATGAAGTCCATGAAAACTTTATCCTACATTTTATTCTGGTTAGCTCAATAGTAATATTTTTCTCCCTGGTACTGTTTAGTGCCACTCGTAATCGTTACGAAATTATGAGTTACATCATCATTACTGTTATACCTCTTTTAGGAACACCAACCACAACAAAATGTAAAGTTCAAGCTTCCTCATAACTGCTTTTAGCTATCTTGTAGATGTATTCAGTTTACTTTGTTAAATCATGAGAGATCATAGACAAAATTAAAAGTTAATAACTAAGTAATATGGAATACAGGTGTCTAAACGGTACATAAGTTGATTATATAGATGTATATTTGCATGATATTATATTTTAGTTTGGGCAAAAATATACCATTATACTGTTAAAACATTTAGTTTTATGTAGATTATCTGTAACTAAAAAATAACAGTTTAAAGACAAATGATATACATTAGACAATAACCCAAATAACTCATAAATTCCAAGGTGGCCAGTCATTGAGATTTAATTATTGATAGTTACTTATGCCTATTTTGAAAAATAACATTACAGACGGTTAATTGATCAGATCAGAATATTGATATGCCCAGTCAAAATTAAACATAAAAATACAAAATATTTGGCGAAAAGTGTTTCTACCTAATTTTCTGTTTTCTATTTACAGATAAAATTAGACATGGTTACATTGATTTAGTTCATAACACCTCGTTTGCAAAAATGAAAGGAAGCAAAACAGGCTTCGATTAAGTGACCATTTACAGAAAAAGACCTATTCAAGATAACTTACAAAAAAATCAAATATTAGACTTTATAATATCCAAACTGTTTACGAAAAATGACTAATGTTGTAAATCGTCATTAGAATGAAAAAAAAACTTGAAAGTAACTTGATGTTACAACCCTCTCCTAACATTAGTTGGCTAGATTGTTGAGAGCCTAGATAAAATGTTCAAGTCAAAACGAGCAAAAAAAATCCAACGGATTTTTGTCTTCTTACTTTAATAAAAACTGAAATTACATAAACTAAATATCAATAAAAATAGATCATGAATAACTTTGTACATAAAAAATATTTCAAAAATCACATCATGACTTCAGATTTTCACCTTAGAAGTAAATTAAATAAGTTAACTAAACAGAATGTGCTTAATAGCTTCATTTTTCCATTAATTGACTTTAATTCAGGTATACATACCACGACACATTATTCAACATGGATAAATGCTGACATACGTTCGGCTGGGAATGAAACATCAATTGCTTTTGAAGCTTACGATGATGATTCTACCTAGCACTGTGATGGAAGCTTCTCAATAAATATATCTATTCCAGAAAGAAATAGAATAATCGGATACTTTTTTGTTTGATAGGAATGAGTGTAAATAGAATATTTGTCTAGTCCTCTTGATATTTTTAAAAGTTCCTTACTATATTGATGATATGGATCCTGAGATACATCTAGAGATTTTATTAAATGGTCAGTCTTATTCAGTATAGCAGTAATATTCAATTTATTTCAGTTCTAAATATTCAACGTTCTTATCAGATAGCGTTTTTAAAACAGGCAAAAAAAATCAAATCATTATAACATATTATGGTAACATGTGACCCGTCAGAAAAAATAGCCATCATAAAAACTTCAGTTACCAGTCATCAAAAATATTCAAGTAGTTTTTTATACTTTTTTTTTAGCTATTTGAACAATTTTGACAGAATAGCTGATCCAGATTATTTACCAAGTCTACAAGATATTTTACGTGTACGTGTACCAACAACTGGTATAATTGAATACCCGTTCAATTTGGATTCTACGGTTTTCAGGTTAGTTTTTAAGTTGTTAAAATGTTGAAAAGAAAGTATTGGTAGAAAATAATAATGACTGGGCTGAAAACTTTAAGATTTCACACAGTGAGAATAAAAGCATTTCTATGGTATAACAACAGAATCCGAACAATGTAACACATTGTAACAAGTATTCAGAAGTCACACTTTTCTAATGAAATGTGTAGTTGTTAGAAATATCAAACAGTCCTTTGTTACCAATCAACAAGGCTTAATTTCTATCCTTAAAATATATAAATCTTTGTATCGACGATGTTTCTTCAATTTACAGTGATGATGTATGGATCAAGTTATTTCTAATAAATTCTCAAATTCTTCTGCTACCGGTCAGTTATTTGCCAAACGGAATACAAAGAAACTATAATGATACAATTTGAATTACAATTACGCACGTAATTTCGTTAGATGAGTAAATTTTTCAACGTTCCAATAACATGAATACTAGTTCACAAATTATTACTTCTTTTGTCTTAAAAAGAAAATGGAATTACAAATACCGTCACAAGTTCTAACAATATTTGTATCTTATGATATTACTAATACTATTACTGATTCTATTACTATACCAATTGCTGTTATTCCCTCCTCTTTTTATGATGACTTAAGCTTTTGAAAAGAAATAAAAGATGTATGGTATCTCAGCTAAATAATTTGAATGTGGAGTTTTTTTGAAACCAAATGTATTTACGTAAGCAATGATGAATAGCGGCTAGCAGTGGAATCCAGGATGCGCGTTTCGTCCTATTTGGGACTCGTCAGCTGGGTGTGCCTGCATCTCAGAGTTGCTGTTTACTCTTGGACTCGAACCCAAAACCACTCGCTTCAAACGCCATCGCGCTATCCACTGAGCTACTGTGTCCTGATAGCCACTTGCTTGTGCGATGGGGTAAATTTAAATTCACTTGGTATTGTTCGGCTTGTATTCCACTACTAGCCACTATCCGTCATTGCTTACAAAAAGCTTGTGAATTAAGGCAGTATCGAAGCATACGCACAGTATGCACATATGCCAATAACAGATTGATTAATTGCAGTCTTAAACCTCAATAGGAAGATACAAGCCAAACAATACCAAGTGAATTCAAATGTATTTACTGTTATGTATCAAAAGAAATTTTTATATCGAATGAAAAAAATAATATTTGCTTATCATACTGTTATAACATTCTGAATTAAGACTCTATCTTTTAACTGCATAGAATATTATAAACTCCATGTATGAAACTGATTAACCAATGAGTATTTGTTTAATCCTTAGTGCTTGTAGAATTATCTTATGTTTAAAATTATAATAAAGGATTGTGGATGTGGGCGGTCAAAGATCAGAACGAAGAAAATGGATTCATTCCTTTGAAAGTGTAACTTCTATTATATTTTTAAGTGCATTAAATGAATATGATCAAGTTCTTGTAGAAAATAAAAATGAGGTAATTTATTTTGTAGAAATTTTAAAATATTTTGCAAAATTTCAAAAATATTTTTTATTTATGAAAGTGAGAGAGTCATTTCAAAACTAGTTATTAATTAATCATCATAGAAATAGACCTGTATGTTTTTATTATGTAATCCAAGCCTCATTCATTAATTCACTGTAGTAATTTATTTCAATAATTTTTTTTAGGCATCATTACTATAAGTAATTCAGTAAATACCTATCTGAGAAGTCAAAAAGGATGGATTTAAGTGCTGCATATGTGTTCATTTTCATTTGAAATTCATCTTATGAACAATATATAACTATGAAAATTGTATTTGAATGATTTCAGTGATTGAAACACAAATAATTCCTATGTTTCCTCCGGTAATCTGACGTGAATTTCTCCAAGGGGAATACAATCGATTATTCAAATACAATTTTTATATTGATTTTCTTCTAAATATTTGGCATCAAGTTTCTGTCGAACTATTCACTCAAATTCTGACAAATATTCATATAATATATATAACTGTATTCAATAATGAAATAGTAATTCATTGTAAATAATTCAAGTACTATTGAAATCATCTGAAAACGAAGCGAAAAGCAGTGGTTATTACTAACCAATAAATAATCACAATATCAACACTTTAGAACTGTTTTACATTAAGATGTTCTGAATGGTCATTTTGAAAATTTTTTAAAGAATCACATAATAACCGTACAACTTGTTGCTAACTTCTCAGTGACTTAATTGTTAAGATGTGCTTAATATTATATAGTATTGTCAGGTTAACACAAGTAATTTTTGACTCAGTAGAATTTGAAATAAAATTCTGAACGTTTTCAAATCAACATACGTATTCCATAATAGTCGTTAAATAATTTGTTATATATACCACATTTTGGAGTAGTAAGTAATACACACTTATTAAATGACATCAAATGCTCATCACCATCAAAGCTATTTACGAAAACTGTACACTAACTTAAACTAAGGAGAACATTAACAAAAACTCCAAAACTTATTGTCCTTTAAAAATATTTTCTAATGGTTAATTTCCCTGTAATGACTTTCATGTAATATGTATTTGACAGTCACAATTATAATTGAATGACTTATAATTTTTAAAATGTAATAACCAACTAAAAGGACGATTATCGAATTAGAAATCATTTGACAGAATGTATATATAAAAAAAATTAAAATGAATAATGTGTCTACATTTTTCTTAATCTTTACTGAATTTATTATATGCAATGGTGCCAACTTTAATTTCAAGTACTGTGTTTTTTTCGTGTAATTATGAATTAAATTTTAAAGTCGAAGTATTGAGTTTACTGATAAAACTGAATAATGAACTTTTAGTAAAATCTACTAAGCAAAACGATATGAACGTACACAATTGTACTCACACTATCACGTTGCAACCTAGAGTTATCTATAACATTGAAATCAATGAGTTTCGGCATTGATATAATTTTAATAATAAAAGATTTTTCCAAAATTATTTCATAGACCATATCATTTTATTAGGCTTGATATATTTTAGCTTGATCATAAAAAGGCTTCTGTACTATTTTGTTTATTTAAGATCAGCTAAATCTATTTTGATTTATCAGCTAGAGTTGTAAAATAAGAATGTCATAAAGCAAACTTTGTTTTTGACTAACGATATTAGATCATTTTATATTTCATTTGCTATTTTGAATGCTGATTGTTTTACAAAATGCCCACTCAGTGACTATAGTTAAACCAGCTCTTTCAACAATCGGTCTTCTTTTTGGCTGTAAAGTACTACACTACCTTAATAAAAAATGATTGATAACAAACATCAAACTTTTAAGGTATGCACCAAAGTTTTCCCTTTTTATTGAATTGAAAACTCCATCTATCCCCATTTATATTCGGTAATATCAGCAGTAAAGGACTATTTATATGAGTTCATAAAACGTTTTTTTGTCTTATATCCGGTACTTAGAGTTAAGATAAAGATATTCGATATCTTATTGTAAGTCTAAGAATAAAGATTTGTTAACAATGGTTGTTTATTATGTATTTCTAAATCTTAAGGAATTTTCACTGACCAAGATAAGAACCCGTTTTCACTTAAAAAAGGCTGATAGCATATTTTGCTATAGTGTACTTCATTTGTTCTGTTGCCAGTTAAAGTTTGATAACAATAAAGTTGTATAAATTCTTAAATCATCATCTTTTGTTTTAACCTAATATTATTTCAAATCGATGCAAGGTTATTGTTGATGCGTAAAATAAATTTTAAAGTTTGTATAAAAATCTCTGTGAAGAGTATGTCTATTACTTAGATTACTGTTAAATTATTCAACTTATGTCTTTAACTCACCCCCCGCCAAGTCACATGGTAACAAAGTGTGCTTTATAAGAATCAGTGCTTCCAGGTTTTCAATGGTGGTCTAGCTTCAACTGAATCATGATTTCAACCTGTGAAGTTTCTAAAAAACCCTTCACAAAACCCATTCTGATAATCAAAGAGTACTTACTTAAATTTGTCATTGTTTACTTCTTTGTTTTGGTTATGTTTCCCATTGGTTCGATTTTCGGTCAATAAGAACCAATCAACATCGAGGTGTACAGAACAAGCTATGAAACGCATATGGAGTAATTCGAACACTTCACTTCTATCTGAAGTTTGTGCTGATGTCGTTCAGAAGAACGATAAAAGCTCCATGACCAAACCATCTGGCTTAGAGAACAAAACTCCATCAAAATCATCCACCTGAGCTACAAATCTTCTCCACCATCTCAGTACTTATTTTGTCCGTCTTTTATGTAAAGGATTTTTAATCCTAGTGTTATTAACGTTTTATAATAAGATTTTCCGTTAAAGGCATAATGATTAAAATTTTCTCATGAAATTATTTCATAGCTTACAGCACCTTTGACATTTAACATAAAAATTTTCTTGTAAATTGTATTTCAGATGAAAACTGTGTTAGAAATTCTGTTCTAATATCATCTTATGTAAAACGTGCAATTTTATACATTTACTTTCACTAATCAACTTTCATAAAGGAATTGGGATATTATTTAAAGAATGAAGTGAATTAGTTTTCTTTTTTTTACAGATTTTTTCTTATCTTCGGTATAGATAGATAGTATTAACTGTCATATATTAATGAAAATATTTAAGGCTAATTTGAAGGAAAATATCTATTCATTATCACATGTTGAATTTGTACAGTTAGTGTTGTATCTATTCAATGTACACAACAAAATATTGAAAAATAGATTGATATTACGTCAGTAAAAAAAGTCCGAAAATTCCAGTTATCAGACAGAAAGGTTACCTTATTGATTTAAAGAGTAATGAAATCAGAAAACAGTGGGAATAATGTACACATGAAAAGTTTGAATGCTGATTGCTCACTAAACCAAAAAGAAGGTGAAAATGAAACAAATAAATGATAGTATCAGTTGAACAAATAGAAAATATTTAAAGAGTGGAAAGGATTAAGATCATGGTGAAACGAAGAACCTGATTTATTGTTCTTAAATACAGGGTTACAAGTTGGTAATTTGTCAAAAGCTATAATTTACATTCATTTCTGACTCACAATCCGTTATATACCAAAGTGTTTGGACTTTTATTTCAGAATCTCCAAAGATATTTCTAATTGTGTTACATGACCGAAATTGATTAGATGTTCAAGAATTAACCTATTAAGTAACTTGCGTTCTGTTTTGGATAAAGAGATTAAATTAAAAATAGGATACTACGTAAAATCAATAAAATCCGTTTCACAAAGGAAAGTAAACTGGTTGGTACACAACAATGGGAACTAATATAGCAATTTATCTTTAACATATCTGTATGATATATATTGTTTATAAGAAATTTTAAAAGTCAATCTTCAAAATGTTTACCGCATTATGTGATGTTCAATCCATGATACTAAATAAAGTCCTAAAACATAAGGTACACATTAAGTAAGTATTTTAAATGAAAAAGATTAGGCAAAATTAATCATGTGTAAAGTTATTATAAACGAAAGAATTTGTAAGGTAAATGACATTTCCTTGTTGAATGCGCAATGTTCATGAAACGTATCAGTTAACATTAGTTTAATTAACTCTTTCAATCGTCCTATTTGTTGAATGAAAGATAAGTTTTCGATAATATATAGTATATAACTACCGATAATATCTATTAGTCTGGATACCAAAACATTTAGTACTAATGTCGAAATAGTTCCTTGTTAAGAACATTTTGAAACATTTGTATGTAAAACATGATGCGAACGTTTTTCAATAAATATTTAACTATTTGTGATAATTGGGAGTATTTGAGTTATTGTACGAATTAGAAATCACAGAAATAACGCAATTTAACCAAGAAGAACAATATGAACATGAAAGAACGTAGTGTATTTGGAATTCGAAATCAAGCAGTCATCAAGCACAAAGTAATCATTAGTTCATACAAACACCACACTATTTTAATCTCAAATGAAAATTAAATGTTACTTAAGATACAAATTTATTTATTCATAACTCTGATATTGAAGTTTTTGCATTTCGCTTGGTTATTGTGATTGTGCATCACCATCTGATTATTAATGAACGGTCGTTAAAAATCATTAGATGGTCAGTTAGCAATGTAAGTCGTAAAGCTTATCGACTGACAAACATAGAATAAAAATTGATGAGAAAGTGAACATTTTATGTATCGAAGCACGGTTCACTTTGTTTGTGACTGATTTAGGTACTTTTTCTTCAGTTGACGAATAAACTGTCATAATTTTGTAGACAGAATGTTCGTGAAGGTTTGTTTAGTTTAAAGATAGTTTTGTTCATGAATTGACGTTATCTGATGATTTTCAACAGTGCGCAAACATAATCCAACTCAGGCATAAACTACGGATCATACGACGAGTATAATACGTTCATATTTCTCAGTAAAAATACAATGGCTTACATTTACAATTCCAGTCAGTTGGTAGCGTACCCTTCAATATTAGTGAGTCACTGACTTGCTCCTAACATGTTCGGGCTTCAGAAATTGCAATTTCTTTTGACGAAATAAGCAATGATTGTCTGAAGCTAACTATTTTAAAATAATTAACTTATAAAACTTGTTCAGAATGGCATAAATTTTAGAATGAAAAAATGTTAACTCGAAATAATTCAGAAAAAAATCGTAAAGTTATATTTGCTAAAATATCGACTAATAATTAGTGTTTTCATATCAGGAGGGTTTTGTGGATACTATAGTAGTTTAAATGGCTGAAATCATGAGTCAGTTGAAGTGACTGGCTTCAAGAGGTATATCCTGGAGTTCTAGTGAAAATTAGTGACCAGTGGAGCTCAACCGGGTCAGTTGTGAGATAGTGACTCACTGAAGAAAATGGTGGATGTGTTGCTCAATTTCATGAATCTGTTGAAGTTAGACATTAACGCCGTTGGATACCGGCTCAGTGGCCTAATAGTTAAGCGCTCGCGCGCGAGACCGATAGGTCCTGGGTTCGAATCTCGCGAGGCGGGATCATGGATGAGCACTGCTAATGAGGACGAAACGGCCTTTCAGTGCTTCCAGGTTTTCCATGGTGGTCTAGCTTCAATTAACCCATCATCTCAACCACTGAAATCAGTATTTCGTTAAAATTCCGGGCACTGAATTTAATTTATGCAATTCCAAGATTTGTAAATAATTAAGTTTTCCGAAGTTACAAAGTATCAAATAGTGCTATCTTTTATCATGATATCTAAATGTATTTGTACATCCATGCATGAAATTAAAACCTGAAATGGGACTTTTTACGTATATTTTTTCTAACGAATTATTCTAAATAAATTAAAAATTACCATAGCACATCCTAAGCTTTCATTCACATCTATATGCGCTAAAAATATAAACTTACAACGTACTTTAAAAATCAACTAAAATCCTTTTAAGTAAGTTCTATTGACATGGATACTGTCTAATATTACTGTTTAACGTTTTCATTAAGTTTGATACTCATCGATTTGTTGTTATTTTTTTGTTTCGCTATTTGTAAAAATTTGGAAATAGAATTTTTAATAAAATAAATTAGTTCAGAGAAGAGTTCTCTTTTCAGTGAATTCATTTCCACAACTGTATTTATTTCTGTTTATATGATCTTGCTGATTATATTTCATTTCAATTTCAACATTTTATCTTATCATGTTGATAATGTTTTAATACCTTTGTTTATTCTACCTCACCGTTACTAGGTTTAACAGAATTTTGTTATCACTATTATTGTAGCTATTATCATCCTGAAACGTAATTATATATATTTGTGATTGTACAACTTTGAAAATGAATTTGCCGAAAAAATAACTCTTCGCTGAACTAATTCTTCTTAATTTATGTCTCAATGGGTATATATCATTTCTTTAAGAAATCTGTGACTATTGAATAATTTAATTGATTGTTCTACACAAATAGATTATTTTTAGTGTTAAAATTGAATCTTAGCTTTGAAAAATTCTTTGCTGTATAAATAAAAGTTTATTTTGAACTAATTTTAATGACGAAATATTAGCGATATGATTAAAGTATTGTTGAGATGTTGTGCTCTTTCAAACAAATGACTTGATTCTTTGAGACAGCAATGGTAATCATCATAACTGACATGGGTTTTATCCTTATAGTAGTTGAAAATAAAATATTATAAAATATATTACTCAGGGTGAATTACTTGAACTGGAACGGAAGGTGTGTGAATTTTCATTTGTAAAATTTTTGTTAGCATGTGACTGTGATAAGTCCTTTCTGAAAGTTAATTTATTCTAATTATTTTCATAATGGAGGTTTGTAGAAATTGTAGTAATTTAATGGTTGAATTCATGAATCGATTTGAGCTAGACTACCCTGAAAAATCTGGAAGCACTGGAAGGCCGTTTCATTCCACTATGGGGCTTCTCAGCAATCCGAATTGTTCGCTTGAAGGGTTGAAGGTCTCTGGTTCGATCTCCAATATGAGGGTTGCAGTTTCATACTGATCAGGATTCTCCCGTTAGGGTGAAACACCTGTTCAGGGCTTCCAGGTTTTCAGTACTTGAGTGACGTAAATAGATTCGTGATTTCATTAAGTTGTTTCGTTCAAGCATTGAGAAATGGGTTTTTGTCTTAGTATCTAAAGAGTAAAATTATTGAATAATAGATTTTAACAAAGTTCTTAAATTTTGTTTTCAATTCTCTTAATATTTAGAAGAGTTAGAAACAATCTAAATCTATCTAGGACAGGCATTCAATCATTCTTTGTTTATAGTTTTACGTAAACTAATAACAGTCAATGACATAGATTATATATTCGAATGAATTTTCGCATAGATTCACCTCATGTTATTATTTAGAAATCATTCAGCAAATTATATGGGATTGTTTATTATATATTGAATAGTTGCATTGTTATTGTTTTTGTTGTTACTGTTATACTGTTTCAGACTATTGTAATATCTTTTTTTACCAATAAACTGTAAGTACTATCGATCTTGTAGAAAACATGATTATCAGATGAACGAATTTCAACTACATACATTCAACACTATTATATTGCGGGAACTTTAAGGCTATCCATATTAGTTTCATATTCGTTTTCATTTTGCAAAATTAATTTATGATTGCAACGCTAAGACAAAACTGCGCTTTAGCGTTTATGAAAATATATTTAATTAAAATTTTTATACAAGAGATAAAACTTAGTTGAAACCATTTACTAACTGTTATATCCCGATGAGAATAATGAATGGTAACTTTTGGGATCCAGTTATGGACCAATACTATGCATATATTTTTATCGTATAATTGTCGAATGAATAAACTATACATATTCGTGTTTCTCTTATCATAAGCTTTATTTTGACCCATAAACTGTTATTATATGATTGACCATTCTTGAGTTATGCCTTGTCTATCAATTACTATCTCCCTTATTCACAGCCACATTTGGTGAAATGTAAAAATGTTATTTTCTGTTTTATGGTACAATATGGTCTGTTTGATTGGTATATAAACCCAGTATGTTTGAAATAAACGATTCATATCTCAGAGGCTGAGATTGGTATTTTGGACATAACTGGCTGGGTTAGGCAGGAAGAAGGATCGACAAGGACTCCAGGCTGCTCGTACGTGTTTTACGCGTCATTGGTCCAATCGATAATTTATTATTCTCTAATTGGCGGTACCATTACGTTATACATTAACAGGGCTCACAGGCCACACGTTATAACACAAACACTATGGTTATGATAGTATAGATTATTTCATATTATTCATTTAACTTGAATTTCAGAATAATTACGAATCATGTTTTAGTAATAGTCCCGAATTATACGATAATAGGAAATGATATTACAGGCGATAAACGTAACTCTCTAACTCAACTGAAAATGAAACTCAGTAAGTGTCTTCATCTTACAACCTGGATAATCGTAAGTTCAATTCACGATTCAAAATTCAGTGACCGTTATTCGTGTAGGGAGATCCGCATTTCTTTTGACTTAAAGTTGATTTAGCTCTATCCTTATATGACTTATTAATATGATATTCTAGTAGCATTTACCATCACCTTGTTTATAACTACCATGCAGTCTTGGTAAGATTTTAATCTCCTAGTCACTAGATCGTATTACATTTTTATGATATGGTTTGTGGTAACTTATATCCATTTCAGCTTTAGTTAAGTTTCCATATCGTTCTTCCAAACAAAACGCCTAAAATCAATACTTTACTATGTCTGCTCACCAGCCAATTTTCAAGTTTTATTTTATTAATAATAAATTAACCAATAGTACTGGTTTCTATTCTCACATCTAACTACAATATCATATAAATATATATAAATTATAAATGCTGATAAGGCAATTTTCGTGTTTGCATAAACTTTAGGGAAATATTTAGGCAGACAATTGTAGTTTTATCCTCACTCTTATCTAATCGTATGAATACGATGTTACTGTATCATGTGAAAAGTACAGTAAATTAGATACACAAGCAATTGATAGGTGAATTAACACTATTGTTTCGATATGGGAAACAAACAGTAGATGCATATGATAAGTTTTACAGAATCAATAAAAAGCTTTATATATCAACCAATCAGATTAAAATTTAACAACTCCATCGATCAGTTATATCGATAATCAGTTTGATTGTGTTATCTATAAACAAGCGAAAGGATGCAACTATAAAAAGCCTCTATAGTTTTTTGACTTATAACTAAAAACGATAGTTCCCATCTCAAATATCAGTCATCTCATAGAAGGAAATATCATCATGAAAATTTTCGTTATATAAGTTGAGACGAGTTCATTAAGCTTTAACTTAAATGAATTTTGAATTATTTCAATAACTTGGTAGTGTATCATATATCCTTAAAACTGTTGGGGAATATTTATAATTCCGGGTTGATGCTCACATGTATGTTCTCTTACCTGAATGATATAATTTTGAAGTTATAATTGCGTACTTTGTACAGAATTGAGATTTCCGTGTTTACTTCACAATCTTTAAATCATCTCATTTTATTGATCTTGTCAATGCTTGTCTCAACTTTTTAATAACATGACATTACCCACCAAAATATTTGTTGTTTTTTCTAAATGACAGTAAAAAGACAATATAATTGCTTCTTTTCATTTATTGATCATAACGAGCTAAAAAGGTAGGAAAGTTGAATCTATCGTTTTAAAAACATTTGAAAGTTGTATTTTCAAATACTAACTAAAAGCTCATATTTCATTCTCATAGATGATGTAAGATAACATAATAGTTAATAAATACTACTATCTCAAGCAATATTTTAAGCTAATAAGCAATAGTCATAGATTTTAGACAAATATCTTTGTTTTAAGAAATTTAAAACAATTAGTCCCTTTGATAAATTTCGATAATGCAATGAGAAGACGAAGAATATCAGAACTATGTGATATATTAGCGCGATACATTTCGAACAATCTGGTCACACATATACTGTGTAGTTGACCTTTTATTTTTATATATAAATGCTCTTAACAAGTATATGTATGACCAGATTGTTCGAAATGTATTGCGCTAATATATCACATAGTTCTGATAATCTTCGTCTTCTCATTGCATTATCGAAATATCTTTGTTTCACAATGGTTAAAATTTTATTTATTGCCTGTTAGTGATAGATGATATTTACCAACCATAGTCTAGTATTCAAGGTAAGCCTATTCTATGTTTTATCAAATAATGTTTAGACATCTTTTCACAATGTAAGCACCATAGGAAGATTTAGGCATTTATCCACACATCCTCAAGGTCTTCTAAATAACTGGTGTAATCACATGGGTAGAGACGTTTACGTTTGACTAACAGTCTTTTTCTGAAATGGAATATCAGTTTATGGAAAAGTTTGTCTGGATTAGCAAAGCATGTTTAACACGTTCTAGACCGTTAAAAACTTTAGATTCGGATGGCATTAGATGTGTAAATAAGATAGGACAAATTTTGCAATGGTAAGGTTCAAGCAAGACCACTGAGTAAACTAGTTGTTCATCCAAACTTCTGATTGTCTGAAGTATGTGTTTTGAAAGAGATCAATCTTTGCATGGATTACAAGATATCCCTCTTTTAATAGTTTTCCAACTACATTCACTGTTTATCTTGCTAAGTTATGAAAGATGATCATTTACATAATTATACATAATCTTCATGCTGTCTGATTTCCTTTTCATCATTTCACTACTTTTGGTTTTCGAGACTCCTTTCCTCATTAAGAGCTATAATGATTTTGGGTGATGCATCTCTATGATTTCAGTAAATCAATAGATACAAATCATAAATAATTTATGGTACCAAATTGTTTATATTTCACACACCACTCCATTCGTGATAAGTGTTCAGAATAAGCAAGAACTAGATTACTTTAATCAACATTTAAAATCCTCCTGCTCATTCCCAAGTCTTTAACAGAAAGATTATATATATACAATTTACATGAAAATTTATTGCTATTATTGCCATAAATTTTTATAAATAGCAAACCTTATTGAGTACATGTGAGTGAACTGCTTGTTAGCCTCTATACAATATCGTAATTATCTTGTGCATCGTTATTACTATACCGGATGTAATATAGTAACAAATATTTAGTACAAATTGAATGTAGGAAATTAACAATTCAGTAACTTTAGAAAATGGTTTTTGTGGGGATGTTTTGTATAATTTGGAGATAAATTTTTCTCACAAACTGATGTTCAATTAAAAACTAATGCATATAAAAAGAACTGTAATGCTTTTTTTTCTAGTTTAAAATTCCTTAATTAAATCTGTTTCAACATATTCTGTATAATACAGTCAGAATAAAATGATGATTTCACCCATTTTATTATGTATTTGTTAAAGGGTAAACTGATTATTGTAGAGAACAAGAAAACAGCTTTTAACCACTTCAATATTCATTTTCTAATAGCCGCTGATTATTTTAAAATGAAAACGGTACTTTTGTCAAAAAATATCGTTCATTGGGATTCACGTGGTAAATCAGTTGGTGAGGTTGTGAGTCTTTATCGACTGAGATGGCCGGGCCACGTATTACGCATGCCTAAACACCGATTACCACTTCGCACAATGCTGACTAGTGTTGAGGATGGTTGGAAGAAAGTTAGGGGCGGCCAAACCAAAACGTGGCATCAGTGCTTGAAGTCACTAACTTCTAGTCTGAGCCATGTTGGGAGATGCAGACTACTTGGTTGGGGTCCACGTGACTATCGTAACCAATGGTTGGAGACTCTTGGTGACATGGCTCAGAATCGATCACAATCGCGTCGGTGTATACACTCTTTGTCTTCCCTTAAACTATGAGATTAAAATCGCTTCATATCTTTATTTCTACCAACTAATTCTTTCTACCTGTAATGTATCCTTATGTGCAATCTTTCCTTTATATATTACCACCACTGAATTAACTACTATGATTCCGGTGTTCATCTTGTTATGCTAACGAGGTATGGCAACTTGGGTCGATGCACATATGTGCCTGGTCCTACGTTGTTGCTGACTGACTGACAAATGAAATGCATTCAGTGAACAACAGTGGTCTTTTAATAAGGTCTTCTTTCTCTCAGTTGGTGATTTTTAGAACAAGTTTTATTATTTTCGGTTCATTTGATTAAATAAATGAATAAATATATAAATCGGTTCATGATGAAACATTCACAATTGTTTTAAAGTTTATACACAAAACATTCAGTTAATATTCTCGTTTATAAATATCCAAAACACAGTTGAAAAATATCGCATTTAACTGTTTCCTTTTTTTCTAAATGATCACTTACGTTTTATATAAGTAAAATATGTATCAGCAATGATGTGGATGGTGACTACGAAACTGTTTTTTTCTGGTTAGCGTCTTTTTAGCAAGGTTGTTTTTAACGGAATAGGTTACCGACCCCTGTTCAACCCTTCTCCTTCATCTGGGCTTGAGACCGACAGGAACCCTAAAGGGGTAAAAAAGGTGGAATGGAGAAAAGCTATTATAAAATATTGGAATTTCTTAACATTCATTCTTGTATTTGTATTTAGTATGTATATTGTCATTTCAAGATACTAATTTTGAAAATGAACTTGCATTTTACATTTTATAATCTTATACAACTATACTGGTCTAAATTAAATGTGTTAAACATTCAGTTCAGAATTTCCTTACAAATAATTAGTGATAATCATATAATTGTACTGAAGGTTCTTCGGAAAATATGATTTTTTATTAATTTTATAGTAATTTATGGGATAAACTCTGTTTTCCCTTCATTGGATAATCTTAAGATGTGAGTTATTTTTATATAGGACATCGTTTTTGAAGGTTGTGTAACTGTTATTCATTGTCAAATATCACTAAGATCCAAAAGACTTACCTTGTCGTCTTTCATTTTTATCAGTTACGCATGCCTTTATCCAAATGATTACCAGTGTTCCCCTCATGATTGATTTATTTATTCCAGAAGGTACCAAAAACTGGGGATAGAAAACGCGAATTCCAATGGTGTTTTTATCGATATAGATGAGTGACAAAAATGTAATTTTTAATTCGAGACTATCTATAAACCTAATTATGTGTTCATATGGTGGTATATCCCAAGTAGTTTTCGGATCATAACAACTCTCCTACAATCAATTTCGATTATAGTTAAATTTCGTTAAGCACTTTTATTAACTTAACAAACAATGTTATTCGAATAGTAACAATTCTCTTATTTCTTTGTATTATTATGATCATTAGCACGAGAACGCTTGATCACATGTGACAGCCTACTCATATATCTCTCTAGCTTAAATTTTATTATCTTAAATATCGCTCGATGAATCATTCTCTTTCCTATGTGTATATGTACGCGAATCCTATTATTAGCATATGCCTTGCCTAGCTGCACCTTATTTGATTTGACTATAAATTTACCTCTACCTTTGCTCGCATACGCACATTCGCCTCTTTGTCTCAAGTTCGCTCGATGTGATTATAGCTTTGTTATCTGTGCTATCTGCTAATAAACTGTAGTCGCCGTTTCTTATTACCTTCTGAATTAAAACACTTGGGATTTATATAATAACGGTTATCAAGGTGACTGATTAACGAAGCTAAGCCACTACAGGATTACGTTGAATAAATAAATAAAATAAAATAAGAAACCAACATGTCATTTGTCTTATATAACTGAAAAACATATAAGCATGTAGATTTGAGGCAGCTATATTAAAGGTACATTTGATAAGACTATCAATCATTTGCTACAAACTAGCTATAAGATTTGTTGAATACTTAACATAAACAAATGGGAATTTTATTTTTATCTCGAATATTTCAAGAATCGAATGGAAGAAAGTCTTCTACTTTTCAAAACTATTATAAATTACGAATGCTTTCAATCATTGTCAATTATATTGTTCTTGAATAAAAAGGATATTTTGGAAGAGAAGATACAATATTCACATTTGGTTGATTACTTCCCGAAATTTACAGGTATGAATAAATGGTATGCAAATTCCTGTTTTCCTTATATGGTATATTTACAAGCTTAATATCTACTATGATAAAAAATCTGTTCAGTTCCTTTTTGATGATCTTACCAATATTTCTTGATAGTGTTTATACTACTGAAGATACCTTTCAGTATTGAGTTAATTACTTTGCTAATAGACAATATTTTAAAAAATTAAAATCGAACTTCTACTATACAGGTTTGCAAAGACTATCAAAGTTGTGGTTTGAAATAGCAAGCTGATTCTAGTATAATGACCACTGAAAACTAGGGAGCAATGGACAGAAATTTTAGTACTAGAATGAGACTCAGTAGTGCCTTTCTATGACCCTACCAGGGATCGAAACAATGAATTTATAATTTGTCATTACTAACTGAGTTCATTTAAACAATGATCGAGAATATCCAAACTGAAGACCACCAAGAGCTTACTAGTGATTAACTTGGATGAGTGATTCCCGTAGTTTTACTGAGAAGCCTTGACTATGGAATGTTACCCATTTTGAGGAGGCGACGAAATCGTAAATTTATTCAGGTAAAAACGTAAATCTCTGGATCTCAACTCAGTGGTCCGAATTTTAAGCGGTTGTCCAAGGTGCATTCCTACATGGAGTCAATGATATGTAGTACTAAGGAGACTCCTACTAGAACAAAACAGTCCTATATTACTTACTTACTTACGCCTGTTACTCCTCGTGAAGGAGCATAGGCCGCTCACCAGCATTCTCCATCCAACCCTGTCCTGGGCAATCCTTTCTAGCTCCGTCCAGTTGTAATTCATCGTTTTCATATCTGCTTCTATTATCCGACGCAATGTGTTCTTTGGCCTTCCTCTTTTTCGCTTCCCTTCAGGATTCCAAGTTAGGGCTTGCCTCGTGATGCAGTTCGACGATTTGCGTAATGTATGTCCTATCCATTTCCATCGTCTTTTCCTAATTTCTTCTTCAGCTGGAAGTTGGTTTGTTCTCTCCCACAGAAGGCTATTGCTGATGGTATCCGGCCAATGGATGTTGAGTATGTTGCGTAGACAGTTATTTATAAATACTTGTACTTTCTTGATTGTAGTTGTTGTAGTTCTCCAAGTTTCAGCTCCGTAGAGTAGAACTGCTTTGACGTTCGTATTGAAGATCCTCACTTTGATATTCGTTGAAAGTTGTTTTGAGTTCCATATGTTCTTCAATTGTAGGAAAGCGGCCCTTGCTTTTCCGATCCTCGCCTTTACGTCTGCATCGGATCCTCCTTGTTCATCGATGATGCTTCCCAGGTATGTGAAGGACTCTACATCTTCCAGAGTTTCGCCATCAAGTGTGATTGGATTGCTGTTCTCCGCTTTGAATTTGAGGACCTTAGTTTTCCTTTTGTGTATGCTGAGGCCTACTGATGCAGAGACTGCTGCTACACTGGCTGTCTTCATCTGCATCTGTTCGTGTGTACGTGATAGGAGGGCTAGGTCATCTGCGAAGTCCAAATCGTCTAATTGATTCTGAGCTGTCCATTGTATTCCGTGTTTTCCTTCAGATGTTAAGGTCTTCATAATCCAGTCGACCACCAGAAGAAGGAGGAAAGGAGAGAGTAAACAGCCTTGTCTGACGCCGGTCCTTACTTGGAATGCATCTGTCAGCTGTCCTCCATGCACTACTTTGCACTGTAGTCCGTCGTATGAGCTCCAGGTAATGTTGACAATGTTCTCAGGAACTCCATAGTGTCGAAGAAGTTTCCATAATGTCTTCCTATCTACACTGTCGAATGCCTTTTCATAATCAATGAAGTTGATGTATAGTGATGAGTTCCACTCAACTGATTGTTCGACGATGGTCCGTAGTGTTGCAATTTGGTCTGTGCACGAGCGATCCTTACGGAATCCAGCTTGTTGATCTCGAAGTCGGGCGTCTACTGCATCCTTCATCCGGTTCAGCAACAATCTGTTGAAGACTTTCCCTGGTATTGACAGTAGTGTTATGCCTCTGTAGTTTTCACATTTGCTCAGATCTCCTTTCTTTGGAATCTTGACGAGGTGTCCTTCTTTCCAGTCCATCGGCACTTGTTCCTCCTCCCAAATCTTTTTGAATAGAAGATAAAGCATGCTTGTGGTTGCTTCGATGTCTGATTTCAGTGCTTCAGCTGGTATGTTGTCGGGTCCCGCTGCTTTCCCGGTCTTGATTTGTCTGACGGCCATTCTAATTTCTTCCGTAGTTGGTGGGTTGACATCTATAGGAAGATCTATGTGTGCTGCTTCGATGTTCGGTGGATTCATTGGAGCCGGTCTATTCAGGAGCTCTTCGAAGTATTCTACCCATCTGTTACGCTGTTGTTGAATTTCGGTGATTGGCTTGCCTTCTTTGTCTTTGACCGGCCTCTCTGGTTTACTGTATTTCCCTGATAGTTTCTTCGTTGTATCGTAAAGCTGTTTCATATTTCCTTCTCTAGCAGCTTTTTCTGCCGTCGTTCCTAGTTCTTCCACGTATTTCTTCTTGTCGGCTCTAATGCTCCTCTTCACTTGTTTGTTTGCTTCTATGTATTCAGCTTGTGCTTGGACTTTCTCTGCTCGTGTTCGGCTGTTGTTTATTGCTGCCTTCTTGTTCTTCTTTTCTTTGATCTTGTCCAATGTTTTTGTAGAGATCCATTCCTTATGATGGTATTTCTTTAGACCCAGAACCTCTTGACACGTTGAAGTTAATGCTTCCTTGATGCCTTTCCAGTTGTCCTCCATAGTAGTTTCTTCTTCTTTCAGTAGATCTTGTAAGGCTTGGAACCTGTTGTTGAGAGCTATCTTGAATTCATTGAGTTTGACAGTATCTCGAAGGAAGGCTGTATTGAACCTTTGTATCGCTGTTTGTCCACTTGACCAGTTCTTTTTTAGCTTCAGTTTCAAATTGGCTACAACTAGGTGGTGGTCTGAAGCTACGTCAGGACCTCTCCTGGTTCTCACATCTTCCATTGTCCTTCGGAATTTTTTGTTGATGCAAATATGATCTATTTGGTTCTCTGTAGTGTGGTCCGGTGAGATCCATGTAGCCTTGTGTATACGCTTGTGTGGAAAAACTGTGCCTCCTATGACCAATTTGTTGAATGCACATAGATTTGCAAATCTTTCCCCATTTTCGTTTCTTTCTCCCAGTCCATGTCGTCCCATAATATCTTCATATCCAGTGTTGTCTATTCCGACTTTGGCATTTAGATCTCCCATTAGAATGGTGAGGTCATTTCTTCGGCATTTCTCTATCACTGACTGCAGCCGCTCGTAGAATTGATCTTTAATGTCGTCATTGCTATAATTGGTGGGTGCATAACATTGGATAATATTCATTGTGATCCCCTCCTTCTTTGTTTTGAATGATGCTTTGATGATTCTGGATCCGTGAGATTCCCATCCTACAAGTGCATTTCGTGCTACTTTAGACAGCATAAGAGCGACTCCCTGAGTGTGTGGAGCATTGTCCTCTTCGTGACCGGAGTATAGCAGCATCTCTCCCGTAGCTAGCCTTTTCTGTCCAGTTTGGATCCAGTAGGTTTCGCTGATTCCCAGTACTGCTAAGTTGTATCTCCTCATTTCCATTGATATTTGACTGGTCTTCCCGGTTTCCCACATTGTTCGAACGTTCCATGTACCTATAAAAATTTTTGCTCTGGTTGTTACCGCTTTTATATGCTAAAGTTGGTCAATGATTTGTAACTTCAAATTTAAACCAGCCGTTTTGAATAGGAAAACACAAGGCAATAGTAAGCTTTGTGGATGACACATACAAATTAGATTTGTAAAACTATGAAAAGCAACATTCGTTGTCAATTTTATCATTCATATTATTCGCATCACATACTTGTACTTTTTCGATCAAATCTATTCCGCTCAATAATATACATTGACAACAAAGCAAAATTTAATATCAATTAAAGATGAAAATAGAGTACTTTATTTATTTTTAGGTCCAAAAAACGACGCAATAGCTGCACGTAATTTCATACTAAAAATGTATCAAGAATTGAATCTAAATTCAGGACGACCAATTTATTCACATTTTACTTGTGCTACAGGTAAGAAAGTTTTTTAAGCTATATGCTGCTTATTATTTGATAATCACTTTTAGTTCAAATTGAGGATGTAGTACTTAGTAAAGTTAAAATTTTAGGATAGAAACATTTAACTATCCTATTCAGTATAATAGATTATAGTGCTGTATATGACTCCGCCTGTAGCTCTTATAGGGTTGCTGCCGGTCCCAAGCCCGGGTAAAGGAAGAGGGTTGGGCATGGGGTTAGCGTCCCCATCCCGTAGAAAACTAACTCGCTAAAAAAACGCTTACCAGAAAAAATAATCCAAACCATTTTAACTCTGCCCTGGGAGTTAGAAGGTCTTCATTTAGAAGAATTATGACGCTTCATGGTGAAAGCCGAGTTCCTTCGGAAGCCACGAGGCCGATGCCCTTTCTAACAACCAGAGCAAAAATTTTTATAGGTACATGGAACGTTCGAACAATGTGGGAGACCGGGAAGACAAGTCAAATAGCAATGGAAATGAGGAGATACAACTTAGCAGTACTGGGAATCAGCGAAACCTACTGGATCCAAACTGGACAGAAAAGGCTAGCTACGGGAGAGATGCTGCTATACTCCGGTCACGAAGAGGACAATGCTCCACACACTCAGGGAGTCGCTCTTATGCTGTCTAAAGTAGCACGAAATGCACTTGTAGGATGGGAATCTCACGGATCCAGAATCATCAAAGCATCATTCAAAACAAAGAAGGAGGGGATCACAATGAATATTATCCAATGTTATGCACCCACCAATTATAGCAATGACGACATTAAAGATCAATTCTACGAGCGGCTGCAGTCAGTGATAGAGAAATGCCGAAGAAATGACCTCACCATTCTAATGGGAGATCTAAATGCCAAAGTCGGAATAGACAACACTGGATATGAAGATATTATGGGACGACATGGACTGGGAGAAAGAAACGAAAATGGGGAAAGATTTGCAAATCTATGTGCATTCAACAAATTGGTCATAGGAGGCACAGTTTTTCCACACAAGCGTATACACAAGGCTACATGGATCTCACCGGACCACACTACAGAGAACCAAATAGATCATATTTGCATCAACAAAAAATTCCGAAGGACAATGGAAGATGTGAGAACCAGGAGAGGTCCTGACGTAGCTTCAGACCACCACCTAGTTGTAGCCAATTTGAAACTGAAGCTAAAAAAGAACTGGTCAAGTGGACAAACAGCGATACAAAGGTTCAATACAGCCTTCCTTCGAGATACTGTCAAACTCAATGAATTCAAGATAGCTCTCAACAACAGGTTCCAAGCCTTACAAGATCTACTGAAAGAAGAAGAAACTACTATGGAGGACAACTGGAAAGGCATCAAGGAAGCATTAACTTCAACGTGTCAAGAGGTTCTGGGTCTAAAGAAATACCATCATAAGGAATGGATCTCTACAAAAACATTGGACAAGATCAAAGAAAAGAAGAACAAGAAGGCAGCAATAAACAACAGCCGAACACGAGCAGAGAAAGTCCAAGCACAAGCTGAATACATAGAAGCAAACAAACAAGTGAAGAGGAGCATTAGAGCCGACAAGAAGAAATACGTGGAAGAACTAGGAACGACGGCAGAAAAAGCTGCTAGAGAAGGAAATATGAAACAGCTTTACGATACAACGAAGAAACTATCAGGGAAATACAGTAAACCAGAGAGGCCGGTCAAAGACAAAGAAGGCAAGCCAATCACCGAAATTCAACAACAGCGTAACAGATGGGTAGAATACTTCGAAGAGCTCCTGAATAGACCGGCTCCAATGAATCCACCGAACATCGAAGCAGCACACATAGATCTTCCTATAGATGTCAACCCACCAACTACGGAAGAAATTAGAATGGCCGTCAGACAAATCAAGACCGGGAAAGCAGCGGGACCCGACAACATACCAGCTGAAGCACTGAAATCAGACATCGAAGCAACCACAAGCATGCTTTATCTTCTATTCAAAAAGATTTGGGAGGAGGAACAAGTGCCGATGGACTGGAAAGAAGGACACCTCGTCAAGATTCCAAAGAAAGGAGATCTGAGCAAATGTGAAAACTACAGAGGCATAACACTACTGTCAATACCAGGGAAAGTCTTCAACAGATTGTTGCTGAACCGGATGAAGGATGCAGTAGACGCCCGACTTCGAGATCAACAAGCTGGATTCCGTAAGGATCGCTCGTGCACAGACCAAATTGCAACACTACGGACCATCGTCGAACAATCAGTTGAGTGGAACTCATCACTATACATCAACTTCATTGATTATGAAAAGGCATTCGACAGTGTAGATAGGAAGACATTATGGAAACTTCTTCGACACTATGGAGTTCCTGAGAACATTGTCAACATTACCTGGAGCTCATACGACGGACTACAGTGCAAAGTAGTGCATGGAGGACAGCTGACAGATGCATTCCAAGTAAGGACCGGCGTCAGACAAGGCTGTTTACTCTCTCCTTTCCTCCTTCTTCTGGTGGTCGACTGGATTATGAAGACCTTAACATCTGAAGGAAAACACGGAATACAATGGACAGCTCAGAATCAATTAGACGATTTGGACTTCGCAGATGACCTAGCCCTCCTATCACGTACACACGAACAGATGCAGATGAAGACAGCCAGTGTAGCAGCAGTCTCTGCATCAGTAGGCCTCAGCATACACAAAAGGAAAACTAAGGTCCTCAAATTCAAAGCGGAGAACAGCAATCCAATCACACTTGATGGCGAAACTCTGGAAGATGTAGAGTCCTTCACATACCTGGGAAGCATCATCGATGAACAAGGAGGATCCGATGCAGACGTAAAGGCGAGGATCGGAAAAGCAAGGGGCGCTTTCCTACAATTGAAGAACATATGGAACTCAAAACAACTTTCAACGAATATCAAAGTGAGGATCTTCAATACGAACGTCAAAGCAGTTCTACTCTACGGAGCTGAAACTTGGAGAACTACAACAACTACAATCAAGAAAGTACAAGTATTTATAAATAACTGTCTACGCAACATACTCAACATCCATTGGCCGGATACCATCAGCAATAGCCTTCTGTGGGAGAGAACAAACCAACTTCCAGCTGAAGAAGAAATTAGGAAAAGACGATGGAAATGGATAGGACATACATTACGCAAATCGTCGAACTGCATCACGAGGCAAGCCCTAACTTGGAATCCTGAAGGGAAGCGAAAAAGAGGAAGGCCAAAGAACACATTGCGTCGGATAATAGAAGCAGATATGAAAACGATGAATTACAACTGGACGGAGCTAGAAAGGATTGCCCAGGACAGGGTTGGATGGAGAATGCTGGTGAGCGGCCTATGCTCCTTCACGAGGAGTAACAGGCGTAAGTAAGTAAGTATATGACTTACCCAACAATAAATGGTTTTTTGACAGTTATTAGTATGACTTTGATGGGTTTGAATTTGACTCCACTATGAGATTTCGAAGTGATATGAAATACTATAAGATCATAAAACCACCCGAATAAAAAGTGTTCTGATTCGGATATATAAGATAGTAAATCGATTGAATCGAATCACTCAGCTAAAAACACAATAATGTGATCATCTACTCTTGAAGCAGATTATATTTCTTAGTTACATGTGTTTACTTTGCGAAGTAATTTTCAAAATTTCCAGTGGAATATTACAAAACTGTGTCATTACAATACACCTAGATTATTAGACTAGCAACTAAATGAATGTTCTTTCCGTTGTTGTTCAAAGCGAACTCCAACATCTAATTAGTAATACTTACAATTTTATTCAGATTACAGATGCACTCACTAATTTGACTTACATTTCCAAATTTACATTAACCAAATCACTTTTAATGAATAAACCATTATTGGTTGAGCTACCCATGTAAGGTAAAATCTTAGATATCTATATCCATATTTGCTTTCAGCACTTTTTAAAGATCATGTAGTCTGTAATTTTACTGTGAAAATCATTAGATTCGTCATTCCACATAATTGAAATATGCAATGTAAAATCAAATAAATAATCGTTCAGCATTTCATTGTTCATATATAAGTATACATTTTTTCATAATTTCAGATACAGAGAATATTCGTGTTGTTTTCGTAGCTGTAAAGGATACTATATTACAAACAAATTTAAAAGAATTCAATCTTGTTTGAGTTTTACGCGCCAGAATAGTGGATGTTGTCATATAACTAGAATTCAATGTGTACTATGGGATTCTTGATCATTTGTTTAGCCATTTCAAAAATATATTTCTCATCAAATCATTAAAAAAATATGATCTTATTGCTTTTCTTTCATTCTTTTAAAATCTCAATGTTACGTTGGTTTAGTTGACCAATAAAGTTACTGAAAGGAACAAATTTAACAGAATAGTAGTTTACCTACTAAATCAGAGGTGGGAAAATGTTTTATTTACGAGTTGCATGAGCTCATGTATTTCTTCAACCAGGTAACATAGACAATAAACTAAAGTGGTTTGGATTTATTCAAACTCTGAAGTATCTGAATATTCATATGAGACAATGATAATCGGAATAAACTCTACTATACAAAGCTAATATTATTATTTAATGCCTAGTCTAATATCCTTAACCTATTCACTAATGCTTGAATTCATTAGCTCCGGGATATTAGTATTTGATTAAATCTGCAAAAAGATACAGAAATCTCTCTTACTAACCTACACTACCGGTGACACAGACTAGATGTCCGTCTATAAACTAAGATGATAGTATGCTACGCAACGGTATGTTTCGTACCTATGTCATACCAACACCTTAACAGGGAATGCAGGCTGGAGTTGGAGTTGTTCGGAAGAAAGTCGAGTTTGTTCATACTGAGGCACAGTATCGGTCCATGAAGCGGTACATGAATGTTCAGATTTTCTGATTGGGGACTATTTAGTACCTATAGTCAATCGAGATACATCGAGTGATATGGTGTAGTTCGGTTCATCCTTTACCTTCCCGTATTGATTTCAGTACATGTTTTAGACTTGAAACTTCTCATATGAAAGGTTATGGGCACTAGTTTAAATTTTTAGTGCGATTGAGAAAGTATTTTACCTCAGACTATTCAGCAGGTCATACATTCAAGTGTGACGCAGTGTCGTCTCTTAAATTCTCTGCTCGATGAACATTTACTTTCAGAAGGAGTTTTGTAAGTAATATAGTAATTTTAATAATTGAGATCATGAGTCAATTGGAGCTAGACCACCATGCAAAACCTGGAAGCACTGGACGGCCGTCTCGTCCTACTGTGAGACTCCTCAGCAGTGCTCATACACGATCCCACTTCGCGAGATTCGAACCCAGGACCTATCAGTTACGTGCGCGAGCGCTTAGCCATTAGGCCACTGAGCCGGTATCCAACGGTGTTAATGTCTAACTTCAACATCCACTATTTTCATCAGTGAGTTACTACCTCAACTATTAAAGGAACTTGTTTGATGGGTTATGCAATGGATGTTTTTAGGAACAAACTACAGATTACAAATGTACTTTTTGTATCGGCATAAATCCAGTAAAATATCATTACCCAGATTTTACTTGTGATAACCGTAACAGTGATACGTAAGTCTACATTATTAAGTGCAAAACAAAAAAATCCATACACATCGTTTAGTCAAGAAACAGAGTTTATAGACAGTGCGTAATAATAAGTGATTTGTTACAATTTCATCATTTATCAAAATTGAAATTTATGTAAAGTGATTTTGTTTTTGACAGATTTCTTTTTATATATCTTTTGTATTTTATACGTATTACACCTAAATAGTATCCCACTGTTCAAATATACCAAAGCCTAGTCACAATAAACATTTACAATCAACTGCATTAATTTACTTAAATACTTTGAAGAGTGAAGCTATTTCCCAAAAAATAACAGAATCGCTCATAAAAATGGGTTTTACTAATACTTGTAAGTTATTTATGACGCAGAAATGTTAAATTTTAGATTGTTGGAAAAGTTAAACTGGAAAAATGAATAACTTGGTGCCGGCTGGATATGAATCTAATTTGAATGAACTTATGGATATGCTATGAATCTAAATCTATTTAACTGAGTCTATTACCTAGGCTAACATCGTTTGTGTGACCGTGGTAAGAAGAAGCCAAACACGGGTGGCGTTAGAGGAATTTATTTCAGGCATTTGTTTATTGAGACAGAGATTTAGAATAAGCAGTGGCAAAACAGTAGAGAAGGCGAGCGAGCCAACTCCATTTAACCAAGCATGACTCAATATTTATAGCCAGTCAAAAATAGGTTACAGACACGTAATGAATAGGGTAGGCAGTACACACACAAACAATCATACCAAACAGTCAACGCTAATAAACAAATAATTATCAAGGTCAAAATAATATATGGCTCGAGAAGAATGAATAGATTGGTCTGTCCAGAAACTAGAATAGTCTATGTGGGCTTCACATAGTAACAGCAGCAGCAAACGTATTAATTCCACTCAATTTACGGACATATGACACTACTGGAAAATGCCTTAACAAAACGATGGAGTGGGAATTCATTTACAATTTCGACTTATTTCTCTGATGTTTGAGTTCAATTAGGTTTGAATGGTTTAATTCTTTTATCCTAGTTAGCGTTCTTTTTTTTTAGCAAGGTTGTTTTCTACGTCATGACCTTATGCCCAACTGACCTTGTTTACCCAGGCTAGAGAACGTCAGTAATCCTTGAAGAGCTACAGGAGGACTTCATAAATGGAAGACACTAATATAATGTTAGACATTCTAACTTTAGAAGAAATAAATTAGTGATCATCTCATAAATATTAGGTTTTGATTGAACATTAGATCCTTAAAACTATCTCATCGATATTCCACAAATGTATCTATCTCCCAGTGTTTTGTGCATAGAAATTCGAACTCAATAAATCTTGACTCAAACGTTTACTAAAAAATTGATTCTGAGTAATCTCTGTTCTGTTCAATCATTGCGAAGAAATTAGTAAGAGTTTGTACTTTTATTTTGTGGCATGCAACAAAATATAAACTAAATTATTGAGTTTAGAATATATATGTTGTGAAAGTGGGTAAGTACAAGAGGATAGATGAACACATCAACACCAGTTGAAAGTAAATTAAAATTGTTTAGAATTAGGTCCGAATTTATTTACCTATCTAAAATGATATTTTTTATACAAAGAATCATAAAATTACTGTCATTTAACAATAGAATCAGTTTATTATGGTTCAATAAAATGGAACATGGTTACACTTCTAAACGAATAGTAATAATTATCTAAAATGAATGTTTCGACAATATGTTAAGGGAAAAGACTATTTTTACATATGATATTTTGTTTACTGAAAGCAGTTGTGACTTAATCGTAGATAACTGACGATTGTTTATTTAACTAATCTGTTTAGATTTTAGAGATCACGTCTTTCGACTCATACTTACATACTTAGATACTTATGCCTGTTACTACCAACGGAGCATAGGCCGCCGACCAGCATTCTCCAACCCACTCTGTCCTGGGCCTTCTTTTCTAGTTCCATCCAATTCTTGTTCATTTTTCTCATGTCTATCTCCATTTCTTGGCGTAATGTGTTCTTTGGTCTTCCTCTTTTCCTTTGACCTTCAAGATTCCATGTGAGGGCTTATCTTGTGACGCAGTTGGGTACTTTCCTCAATGTGTGTCCTATTCACTTCCATCGCTTCTTCCTGATTTCTTCCTCCGCTGGGATCTGGTTTTTTCGCTTACACGGTACGTTGTTGCTAATAGTGTCCGGCCAATGGATCTGAAGTATTTTGTGTAGACAACTGTTAATAAACACCTGTATTTTCTGGATGATGGCTTTCGTAGTTCTCCAGGTTTCTGCCCCATACAGTAGAACTGTCTTGACATTTGTACTGAAAATTCTGACTTCGGTTTTGGTTGACAGTTGCTTTGAGTTCCAGATGTCCTTCAGTTGTAAATATGCTTCTCTTACTTTACCGATCCGCGCATTCACATCTGCATCAGATCCACCCTGTTCATCAATGATCCTGCCCAAACACGTAAAGGTTTTTACATCTTCTAAATCTTCTCCGTCAATTATGATTGGATTGGTGCATGCTGTGTTGTATCGGAGAATCCTGCTTTTCCCTTTGTGTATATTGAGACCTACTGCTGCTGAGGCTGATGCTACACTGGTCGTTTTCTCCTGCATTTGTTGTTGCGTTTGGGATAGAAGGGCCAGATCATCTGCGAAGTCTAGATCATCCAACTGCATCTTAGATGTCCATTGTATCCCGCGCTTCCCTTCAGACGTTGACGTCTTCATGATCCAGTCGATCACCAGGAGAAAGAGAAAGGGTGAGAGTAAGCAACCTTGCCTGACACCGGTCTTTACTTCGAACGACTTTGTCAACTGTCCTCCATGCACAATTTTGCAGTGTAATCCATCATATGAGTTCTGTATGATATTGACTATCTTCTGAGGCACGCCGTAGTGTCGAAGAAGTTTCCATAGTGTTGTTCTGCCCACGCTATCAAATGCCTTTTCGTAGTCAATGAAGTTGATGTGGAGTGATGAATTCCATTCAATTGATTGTTCCACAATGATTCGTAGTGTTTTGATTCGGTCTGTACACGATCGATCCTTATGGAGTCCAGCCTGTTGGTTTCGAAATTGGGCATCTACGCAGTCCTTCATTCTGTTTAACAATACCCTGTTGAAGACTTTTCCCGGTATTGAGAGAAGAGTGATGCCCCTGTAGTTATCACACTTGCTGAGATCGCCTTTCTTCGGTATTTTGATCAGAAGTCCTTCTTTCCAGTCTTTTGGTACTTGTTCCTCATCCCAAATCTTATTGAAGAGAATGTGGAGTATCCTTGCAGTTGCCGCTACGCCTGTTTTTAGTGCCTCTGATGGAATTTTGTCTGGTCCTGCTGCTTTGCCACTCTTGATTTGTCTGTTGGCCATGCTCGACTCATGTTCGACTCATCCAGCATGATTATAAACAAACCAAAAAAAATTTATCAATATGAGGTTGTGGTTAGCAATGAACTTTATTGGAATCATGAATCGATCTAAGATAGTGAAAGCGTTCTATAGAAGTTCTGTATTTATCAAACTTCGATTTGTAGTATATTCATTTTGACATCAGACACACTAAAAGGGAAACATTACAAGTTATTTTTGAATTTATTATTGAACTGTCCCTTTACCAGGGATATCGTTCGTGATTTTTCTTAAGGTTTTTCCTTAGATTAAATAAA